CAATCTCAAAGTCTTCAACAGGCCTGCAGTTAAAAATATCCGATTAAATCAAACGAAATTCTATACTCATGATCAGCCAAAGATGCGGTTTCAATTATAAAAAATATTAGAGAAAATATTTAGAACTCGCTATAAATTAACCCATCATAATAATTTGTTCATATAATCTTTTTATTTACTTCGATATAAGTTAATTTTTGTGATAGGTGTGGAAAAAATCTTTAAGATACTTCCTAGTACTATAATAATTTGTAAATTGTAATTCAATTTCAATTCATGTCAAATATGTATATACAAAGAAAAAATGCAATGCATAAAATTAGTAATAAATGTGAAATGTATAAAATATATTGGCAATAGATACATAAATATAACAACATGAAGGGGTGACATTAGACTTTTTGATCTTTTAACCATGTTTTGAATTGATAAATCCAGTATAATAAACATGAAAAACACATAAATTTTAAGTTGACTTTTTATTGTAAAGGATTGGATGAAATAAATATTATTTATTTAGTAGGATAATTGAAGAGAAATGGGTACGGATTAACGTACAAAAGAGTATTATGAACAAGTCATGAAAGTGATCATACATGGAATAACATAAAATAAAGTTGACCATGAAAAATACCAAAGTAAAAGTTTGAATAGATCGTATTACGAGAAATTTAATATACATGAAAGTTGTATGATCTTGATTCAAGTAGAAGGTGAGGTTACACGGATATCCAGACTTTTGATTTGGAAATATAATCACTCTCAAGGGATCTCCTTAATAAGGTTTTAAAATTCAACCCGAAGACTTAAAATAGTACTAAAATAAATTTTATTTTTGAACATAGTAATTTAATCCACTAGAAAAGTGTAAATGAATCACAATTTGTTAAGGGGTAAAATTCCAAATCGCTTAAATATGAAATAAATAATCAATAATAGGGTTGATGATGCTTCGGGTGAATAGTTTAGGATGGAATTCCAATATTCAGTATGTGCAATAACTCAAACCAAACTCAAATTCGGTTCCTTGAGTGTTTGGATGATTGTGTTCGTCGGCTTCCTCTTTGGGGAATGGCCAATAAGAAAAAGAAAATGAGTGCATGATCATGAAACCCCTATTCAAACTGAAACAAGTACCCTTATGATAAAGTAGTTGGAATAATTTATCTAATATATCCAGGAAACCCCTCTTATCCTTTAATTACGGAAGGGAAAATTTTGGATTCGAGTAGTGACAGAATCATTAAATTTTGTTTTTGTGGACTCGGGAGAAAATGGGCTCGGCGTCTACATGAAACCTAGAGTGCTCGCTAGCCGTAACGAAAGGAGTTGATTGATTATAATATCCTTTTTGTGTGTTATGCATGCTTGACGTTCACACAATTTTAGAGGATCAAATTTGAAGAAAATGAAAATTGAAGGACCAAAGTGATGAGTTCGGGAAGATGGAGGATCAATCTCAAAGCAATTGGAAGTGATAGGACCTAACTAGTTGTCATTTTAGTATTCCTCTCCCCACTCGGTGGATTTGATGATGTTGAAGTTGATCTTGAAGATGATTGTTAGGTTTTTAATGCTGGCAATTCTGTGGATAAAATGACTAAATTGTAACGTGTTGTAAAAGTGAAGGACCTAGGTGCAATTTGTAAAATTAGGTTATAAGGTCTAGGGTTCGAGCATAAAAAGAGGAAAAACATGGCATCGCATTTTCGCTAGCCTATCGCCTGGACACTGCTCGAATGACAAAACAGAATCCTAGTCGCTTGTCTATTGTCGAGGTTTAGCGCAAGGGACAGGATTATACGGAAAACCCTAATTTGCATTTTTAAACAGATTTTTCCAGCCCATCCAACCCAATTACCATCTCTTATACATGTCCAAGCCATCGGACGAAATTTGAAGGTGGTTTTCATTATTTTCGTTGCCTCATCTTATTCTCTAAAGATCCAAAAACATATTCTTTTATTGTAATTCATCATTTCTTCTTGAGATCATATAAACCACCTGTTTGGGAAAAACATCAAACCCATTAAATCGACACACCGCCTACTTCCTATTGGTCATAGGAAGGTATTTTCTCAGTTGAATTTCAAAGATTGTTGGAGGTTAGAGAGGTTGGACTACAAGCGTAGAAAGAGAACAAGGTCTTAGAGCATGTTCTTCGAATTTTGCTGGGAAGAGACAATTGCAGAACACATTGGAGCAGACTTTGGAGTTAGTAAGAAATAGATTAGGAAGTCTAGTGGAGTTGACTAGATAACATCTGACTGTAATTCACTCCATATTATCTATAGTGGAGGTAACGGCTTGATCCCGAAGTTTTTACCCAGTTGGGGTTTTTCCGTCATCATTTTGGTGTTCGTTATTTATTGCTTTCTTTAAACTTAGGAAAATTGACTTGTTTGATTAACCATCTAGAAATAATTAAAAGTGACTTGTTTCTTTTGATTGATTAATTCCGCATGTAGGGTCAAAACTAAAAACGGATAATTAATAACCATTCGATAACTTAGTAGCTGTTAATTTGGTAATCCGTATCTTTCAAGTGGTATCTAGAGCGACACCCGATTTTTCAATTGGTATTAGAGCCCAAATTCGTTCTTTAACTTATATTATCTACATGAGTAGTTCATTATATGTTCCGTCTTATTTTGATGGTAGTAATTATGCCTACTGGAAGGTTAGGATAAGAGCCTTTTTGAAATTTATGGATGAGCGTACATGGCTGAGTGTTGTGAATGGTTTGGTTACGACTAGTTCTATGGTTAATAATAAAGTAATTCACACTCCCATTGCTAATTGGATTAGGGAGAATTTAGATGAACGTAACTGGAATAGTAAAGCTTTACATGCCTTATTTATGGCGATTTCTCCGAAAGAGTTTAGGAGAGTATCTATGTGTAAGGTAGCCAAAGAGGTTTGTGATATTCTACAAGACCACACATGAAAGAACTCAGGCTGTTAAGAACTCAAAATTGTAAATGTTGACCACTAGGTTTGAAGAGATTATGATGAAAGAAAATGAAACTTTTGATGACTTTATGCGAGCTTAAATGACATAGTGAATTCTAGTTTCAACCTAGGTGAGAGAATCTCGGAGCCTAAAGTTGTAAAAAAAATTCTTAGATCCTTACCTGAAAGGTTTAGGCTTAAAGTCACGGCTATAGAGGATAGCAAGGATTTAGATTCAATTAAGATTAAAGGGTTGGTTGGATCTCTCCAAACTTATTTGCTGACATTAGCTAAACCCACAAACGACAAGTCATTGGATATAAAAATTGTGAGAAATAGTCATAGAGAGTCCTAGGATTCAGATTCTTCTAATGAAGAGGAGTTAGCATACTTTGCTAAAAAATTTCAAAAAATGTCTAGGAATAAACAAAAACCTCAAGAGAAGCATAGAAGTGGTCCAAGTGAGTCTAGAACGAGTTCTAAATTTGTGAGATGCCATAATTGTCGAGGTTTTGGCCACGTTAGGAGTGGGTACCCTAGCAGTAGGAGAAATTTGAATAAGGCTATGAATTCTACTCTCACTGATGACAAGTCTAACTCGTACAATCAGAGTGAGAAATCCACTCGTGAGGAAAGTGAAAAATATATTGTCTTTACTGCTAGAATTTGGAATGTACCTGATAATGGGAATGAGAAGGTTGAAAACGTAAGTAGTTGTAAGAATTCAGAAGAAGATTATAATAATAAGGACAATTCTAATATTGAGGGAGGTATTCACGATGATAGAATCTATGAGAAGAGCATTAAGATTCTAACAAAAAATAAAGCCTCAAGTACAAGAGTTACGGAACTTGAGTTGGAAAACGAGAAACTCGTAGCGTACATTCAGGAATTTACCTCTATCCGGAGTGAGTTGAAATTCGTGAATGAATCTTTAGATACTCAGGTTAAGAATCTCACTAGTGAGCTTGAGAAGATATCTAGGAGAGCTAACCTTAGAAATCTAGGTTAAAAATCTTCTGAACGATCTAGAGTATTCCATGTCTCAACTTCTTGCTTTTTCTAGTGGTTCTAAGAAGTCAGATAACATTTTGGGAATGGGCAATCTTGCTAGTATTAAGGGAGGTATGTGATACAATAAAAATGATCTAATGTTGCTAGTACGTCCAAGACCACATTTGTCTCTAATACTGACCAGTTTAAACATGTGTCTAACCCTGAACATAAGAATGAAGGATATGTAGGACAGAGGCCTACTAGACAGCGTAGGACTCGCTAACCTAGGAATAAATATCAACGATCTCATAACTCTGGTCCTAGTTTTATCCCTATATGTTTTCATTGCTGTGAGTTAGGACACATAATGCCTGGGTGTCATCGTTTCATGAATAGAAATGGAAATCGGAACTTAAATAGAAATAAGAATCGGGATTTTGTTTGTCAAATTGACTTCCTTACTGATCAAGTAAGCAAATTGACCGAGTTAATGAAACAGATAACCGAAAATGTTCATATCACTACGCAAGTTTGGGTGAAAAAAAGTGATCTAAAATTTTTTAAAATAGATCACGGTGCTATTAAAGGTAAGAGCATTTGCACACCTAACTGATTAGATATTTTGGTGCATGCTTGTGCTTTATCATTGTATGTCATTGATTTATGCATGCATCATATTTGTTTATTTGTTTTTTAGGTAGAAAACTCATGCATATATATT